GGCATTAGACACCCTCCACTACCACCTAACAATAGGCAAAAGACTCAAACTTGCCAGTCAGCCATCTCATTCCTCAGTCTCAGTGACCAGAATAAACACATGAAATAAAAAAGACTAGTCAGATATGTATTATTTTGGAGGAGAGGAAGAGAGGGAGAGAGGGAGGGAGGGAGGGAGAGAGACAGACCTGAGTAGAATTATAGGGAAATCTGGGGGGGTCTTAGTGTACTTAGACCTCTTTCCTATAATTTGAAAGGGAACCTGGAAGAAAAATGAAGCCAACAAAAATGAAGAGTCAATAGATGGAAAAGGAGAGACCAAATTGCTAATAACTATTTTAGTGACTGGGGAGAGCCACACTGGGGTTTTCATTTATATAGACCAGAAAATTCTCCCTCCCTCACTTCCCCCTTCTTCCCTCCCTCCCTCCCTTCCTTACTATAACTAAATAACTTCAATAGGATTCCCAATTAGCAGAAATTTGGTGGCCTTTTGCATCTTGTTTTAATTCCAGGCTTGGGGGTTGAACCTAGGTTCTTGGCAAGTGCCAAGCAAGTGGTAGGGACTGGGCTACAAAGGAAAATGAAAGCCAGTTTAGGAAACTTAACAAGGCTCTGCCCTAGAATAAAATTTTAAGAAATAGGGGTGAGACTTGGCTCAAAAGCAGAATGCTTACCTAGTATAGACAAGGCTCTGGATGAGCTCAGTCCCCAGCATCATATTTAACATTGGAGGTGGGGTATAGTTCTGTGTCTTCAAGTAACTGGAGAGGTATGGCCATATAGTATGAAAAGCCTGGTTCCAGTAGAGTCAAGACCACCTTGTGTCTTTGTGCATCAATCGCTTGGTTTTTGTCTGTTTGTTTATTTGAAATAATGTCCTTATTGCAAGGGCTGGGCTGAGACTAACTCCTGACCCTCCTGTACATTGACTGCCCATGTTCTGGATTATAGGCAAGCACCACCAGCAGGTTAGCATCATTCTTGTTCTTTCATTTCACTTGCAGTAAGTGACCTGAAACTTGGCAATATATCACCCACCTCAACTTATAATTTATCCCACCTGGGCTTTACCATTTCCAACAAGGCTGTCTTTGTCCTTTACCAGGTGTGCTTGCCATGTGTCTTGGTGCTTCTTTACTCACAATTTTGGGTCCGTTCACAGAGTCATGCTGTGTTTTCAGTGGCTCTTCATTGTGTGCTTCCTCACAATATGCTAAAATGTGCTTGACTCCACTGGCCCTGTACTCTATCTAGGACCTTCTACTTGCTCACTTCATGCTATCTTCTGAATGCTGGTGACCCCCGTGTTAGTCTCCCCTACCTGGCTCCCAGTTTGACACTGTTAAGAAGCAAGACTTAGTTAGCTGTTATGGTAATGCCTTTCCTGTAATCCCAGCTCTCAGGAGGATCTGGAGTTCCAGGGCAGTTTGGCTGACATAGTGAGACCACATTAAAAAAAAAAAATGAAGTAAGAAAGAAATCATACTGTTATATTGTAATCCCCGTGAGAGACCTTTATGATAAAAGAAAAGAGAAAGCTATGTGGCTTGATATTTTTTTTATAAAAATGCTTTCTAGGATTCATTGTTCCAACTTATTAGTTAAATAACACACTAAATGTTTCCATCTGACAGTGACTTCATTTCTGTGAACAAATAAAGTGACTTAAGCACATGCCAAGAGAGATTACTCAGCTAAATCTGTGAATGCTGGATAAAAAAATAACTGAAGTATAGGCAGGAAGAGTAAAACCACCAACAAAAAGGTCAGATAGATGGCAGTGAATTTCTAAATTCTCTTTAAACACTTAAAACATAGAAAAGCAGCAGTAAGCAACAAGTCCATCAACTAGAAGATTCATTCTACAACTACAAGGTTATCACCCTTCAAGCTCACTGAATACGTGGCTTATATTGGATAGGGAGCCCAGAAAACATTTTCCAGATTCTTGCCCAAAATATTCCTTAAAATGCACATCCTAGTATGTTTGATTCAGCCACATGCTAAGAGCTAGGATTCAGTCTTCTTGTGACAACTGTCTGTAGCAACATAGCATCTCTTTGTGAAAACTAATTCAACTATGGAGGTTAAATTTTGATGGCAATTTCTAGGTCATTACCAACTATTTAGTCATTCTTGTCTTTATATAGCTATGTAATAATAGCAGAAAGTGCTAGCCCTGGGTATCACAGTAACTAAGAAGTGAATCAAAGATTATCTGAGAGTCAGGTATGGTGGTGAGTATCTTTTAATCCCAGCACTTTGGAAGCAAAGACAGACAGATCTCTGTAAGGTTGAGACCAGCATGGAATACATAGTGAGTTCTAGGGCTACCCAGGGAGACCCTGTCTCTATCTGGCCCCAAGAACTCTAGATAAAGGATACTCCTTGTGTCAGTTTCATATTTCTCTAAAACAGGCAGAGAAGGAAGATCAGGCTTGGGCTCTACCTGTAAATGGTTACCAACTAGGTGAGTAGACATAGAGCAGCATGCTTTTAAAATATACCAAAACTTGGTAAATATATGTCCAAGGAAAAGAGTGTCCTGCAAGCTTGTAATCCACTTGGGCACTCTGTGAAGGAAAGGAAACTTTAACTGGACCTGTAACCATACATGAAGTTATACAGAGAACAGGATAGTGACTTCCAACCTAAGAGCAATGTGTGAACACAAGATACAGGAATGTCCATGTCAAGTTCCCAGCATGATGTAGTGAACAATTTAGCTAGAACTGAAGAGCCATGGAGTTGATTTGATACCGATTGTCTACTTTTAAGAAATCCATAGGCTATCTTAAAGGGGCCTGTGTTACAAGTTTCCAAGTTTTACAAGAGCCTTTTGATAGACAATTTTAGCATTCAATATAGCCTTATTCATCTCATAAAGTTCCTTTTTCTTACACAGCTCACCATGGTATATTTTGTAACTTTCAGTCATTTCCCATGTTCATATTTTCTTTTTGTGGGGGAAATTTAAAGAGGAAATATATGTTATGTAAATCCCAATACAGTTGTTTAATCTGAAGCTCTGACCCCAAAAACATCTGACTCAGCCTCCATCATTGGCAGCCCATCTTTGTTTGGCTTCCTTGGGTAGCTATGCTAATATTGAGGACATTACTGCTTTGGGAAACAGGATTAACTGAAGCCCAGGTGCTTAAAACATTCCCCAGCTCAAATACAAACATGTCCAAGTGTTTATTCATCAATCACTCCCAATGCTCCTGTCAGGCTCGTTTGCTCCCCACTGTAGTTTACTCTTAGCAATTGCCCTTTAAAACCCTACCAAACAAGAGCACATTTTCTTTTGGATGTTCTCTCACCACCAGCAAAATATAAACACACTCAAATCTCTTTCTTTTTTACTTTTATTTTTATTTTTGAGACCATGTATTCCTGGCTAGTCTGGAACTCACTATGCAGAGTGGACTGCCCTTAAACTCACAGAGATCTCGCTGCCTCTGCCTCCTCAGTGATGAAGACTGCCTGTCATCCTCAGCTCTGCAAGACGATGTCTAGTGCTATATGCAATGGTTACCAAATAAATTTAGAAACAAAATGAATGGATTCCTGTCGGAGTATCTAACACTATGGAAATATTCTGTGCTTGTAAGAGCAGTTCTAAGAAACTGAGGAGAGAAGACCCTGAGTCTGGGACCATTCTATAATACACAGTAAGACTGTTTCAAACACAACCCATAATGTTGTGCAAATTTCATATCTATACATAACACCTGATTCTAGAATTTTGAACTTTTTCTAAAAGGTGACCAAAAGAAAAAAAATACTAAATTTTATTTTGGAAGACAGAAGAACCTAGCAAAAGAGAATAAAAATGTTTGATAATTCACTAACGATTCCAGTAGCTGCTTTTATGTTTAAACAAAATGGTTTACATAAGAAATTTGGTATTGGATCACTTGTCAGTAATCAGCTATACCAAGGGAGGTATATGAGTGGGTGTGGATGCCTAATCCTAGCACTTAAGAGGCTGGAACTGCAGGCTTATTAAGTCTGAGATAGTCTGACTACAGAGATTAGTCTAACTATAAGATTTTTTTTTTTTGAGTTGGGCAGGGTCTCCTGTTCTGTGCAGGCTGGCCTGGAACCTTCTGTACAGCCAAGACTCCTTGAACTGCTGATCCTTCTAGCTCCAACTTGTAAGTGCTGGGATTGATTACAAGTATGTGCTACCATGCCCTGGCCAACCCCATAATCTATAAAAGTGCTCCTGAGGCTAGGAAAGGTGGCACACATATCAGAAGCCCCAACTATTCTGGAGGTTGAGGAAGGATGAGTGAAGTTCAAGGCCAGTGTGATACAGGCCAGCAGTCCCAGTTACTGGGAGGCTGAAGCATGAGGAGAAAAACTTCACAGTTTGCCTACGTTACAGAGTTAAGTGAGGGTCTGCCTGGCTAACTTGGTAAGACCTCATCTCAAAACAATTTAAACAGAGCAGGGCATACAATCTGTGGTAGGGCACTTGCCTAGCATTTATGAGGCCCTGGGTGCAATCTTCAGAAGGTGATAGCTATTCTTGGTTGTCAACTTGACTACATCCTGTAGTTGTTTTTCTGTTTTGTTTTGTTTTGACTCTTTGGGGCCTGTCACCCAGCTCCCAAATAAACACAAAGAGACTTATTCTTACTTATGAATGCCTGGCTTATTTCTAACCAGCTTTTCAAACTTAAATTATCCTGTTTCTCTTTATATTTTGCCTCGCCTCTGGGCTTTTTACCTTTGTTTATTCTATATATCTTTCTTTCCTTCTTACTCCATGGCTGGCTGGGTGGCTGGGTGGCCTGCCCCTGGTGTCCTCCTCTCCATTTCCTTTTCTCAATTCTCCCCCATCCCTAGACTGTTCCTCCTATTTATTCTCTCTGCCAGCCAGCCCCACCTTCTGCCTAGCTATTGGCCATTTAGCTCTTTACTAGACCAGTCAGGTATTTTAGACAGGCAAAGTAACACAGCCTTAAGAGTTAAACAAGTGCAACATAAAAGGATGCAATACCTCTTTATATCATTAAACAAATATTCCACAGCATAAATGAATGTAATATATCTTAAACTAATATTATGCAACATCTGGAATTAACTAAAGTCCCCAAATGGAGGGCATACTTGTGAAAGATTTTTGCTTAATCTGAAGTAGGAAGTCCCACTTCTAATCTGAAACTTTAAAATAGGAAGACACACCTTTATTCCAGATCTTTTGTTCTGGGAAAACCCACCTCTAATCTGGGCTACACCTTCTACTGGAAGCCTATATAAGGGCATGGAAGATGGAAGCTTTTGCTCTTTGCCTGCTTGTTCTTGCCTGCTAGCAAGTCCATCCCTTAACTGGCATTAGAGCCTACTTTTTCAGGATTCTGGTGTATACTGAAGACCGGCTGAGACATCCAGCCTCATGGACTGACCAGCTTCTGAATTCTTAGACCTTCCATTCATAGGCAATAGGATGAGTTGGACTGCAGCCTATAAGTCATTGTAACGAGAAAGAGAGAGAGAGAGAGAGAGAGAGAGAGAGAGAGAGAGAGAGAAATTTTCATTCATTAAGTTCTATTATTCTAGAGAACACTGACAAATACATGGAACTATCAAAAAGCAATTTTTGTGCCAACCCTTCATAAGCCAAAAGTTAAATCTGTAGTGAAAACCAGAGCAATACTTATTTTTATAAGTGAAGTTCTGACCTCTAGTGGCTAAACAGATTTAATTCCCGAATCTGCTAAATAATTTAATGTCACTGTCTTAGTGTTTCTATTGCTGTGAAGACACCATGACCACAGCAACTCTTATAAAGGAAAACATTTAATTTAGCTGGCTTACAGTTCAGAGGTTTAGTCCATTATTTTCATGGCCAGAAGCATGGTAGGCATGCAAGCAGACATGATCCTGGAGAAGGAGCGGAGAGTTCTTGATTCACAGGCAACAGGAAGTGAACTGTTTACAACATTGAGCATAGCTTGAGCAAAGAAGACCTCAAAAGCCACCCCCACAGTGACACACTTTCCCCAACAAGGCCACACTTATTCCAACAAAGCCACACTTCCTAATAGTGCCACTTCCTTTGGGGGCCATTTTCTTTCAAACCACCACAGTCACAGAGAGAAAATGACATTGTAACTTTCCTAATGCAAAACAATCAGTAAAATTCAGTTCCACCTATGAAATATCCATGAAGCCAATAGAGCTTGTTGATTAAAAGAAAAAATCAACTTTGAGGCCATGTGTGAAGGCAAATCCCTGAAATGACAGCAACTTGGGAGCTGGAGGCAGTAGAATCATGAGTTCAAGGGAATCTTCAGCTACATAACAAGTGGGGGACATTCTGGGAAATCCTGTCTAGAAAGCAACAATGAAAAGGTAAGTTTATGGCAAGATAAGGTGACAGCAAAAAAAAAAATAAAAAATAAAAATAAAAAAGGGCCAGTGTATAAAAGAAGCAACTGTGGAAGACTCAGTCAGGAATCACAGGTGGAACAAAGTACACAGGGCCTTAACATCATTTTGTAACAGGACCGTGGACCATAGCAGGTACCCGCCACTTTAGCACAGCTGTCATAATAATGGAAGTAGCATTCAGGCCATAAAATCCAACATGTAGACGGTGCCCCCTGCCAAAAAAGACCTAATTCACCAAAGTCCCAGTTCTGGTGGTGTGTCCAAATTCTGAACCCCAAAATCACCAAGAGGCCCATTTCAATGCAAAAGCAAAGAGTCTTTTATTGCAGTTTAACGAGCTAACCCCATTAGTTCGTGCCCTTCATCCATCCACAGAGGCAGATGGTTGGAGAAAGACCCGAGAAACCATAAGACAGGGATCTTACAGAGCAGCGTAAGGGAGTATCTAGTGGTATGCAACAGTCTCAGGATTGGTGCACTTCCCGGCTTGGACAACCTGCCCTGTGTTGATTGGTCAACTGGTTGTTATGGCCTATAGGCCCTCCCAGGGTGGTTGCTATGCTCTGCACATCACTGTTGTGCACTTGTCCATAAAGCACACCCAGAGCTGGAAAGCATAGCACCACCAGATAACTTCTGATTGGTTCCTTGCCACGAGGAGTGCATCTGACCTCCTAGTGACCAGGGCAAGCCCAGCAAGGTCAGGCCAGCACATGTTACCCTGTCATGGCAGCCAAAACAGGGGTGGGGGTGTGGTCCCTTCACTGGGAAAGTCCATAAATGCACTAACCTTGCTTTTGGCTTCTGTGGTTTCAGTTCTGGCTAACTGTTCTTGTTAACTGAAGTATGTCAGTCTAAAACATGGATTTTGTGCTTTAAAGCCCACTCTGAAAAATCTGGGGCTACCTTGGGATCTTGAACACCCAGTGTAATCGCTGGCTGGCTAGTAGACAGACTTTCTATTGGCTTAACCTGTGTCTGAGAAGTTTTCTCTGGTGGATACCCATGGCAGTATTAATGATGAAGAGTTTATTTTGTGGACATCAAAGGTTCAGCAAAAGTACATAACAGAGTATTGTAATTTAAAAAAAAAAAAATGGCTCAAGAGAGAAAGACACCATGCCACAGAGATCAAGCAGAGGTTTTTTTTTTTTTTTTTTTTTTTTTTTTTTTTTTTTTTAACCTATCCTGGCACTCACTCTGGAGACCATGCTGGCCTCGAACTCACAGAGATCCGCCTGCCTCTGCCTCCTGAGTGCTGGGATTAAAGGTGTGCACCACCAACGCCTGGTGCAGAGGGGATTTTTAAGGGAAAAGAATCCTTAAAGGGGGAAAGGTGAGGTACAGGAGACTAGCCTCCAGGACAAGAGCAGTGGGAAAGAGGAGGAAGGGAGGGAGGGAGAGGATAAGAAGGGGTGAGAGGAGAGGGGGAGAGAGAGGGTTGAAGGTGGGCAGGGCCCTTTTAAAAGGGAACATAGTGAATAGGCACATCTGGTGTTCTTAGTGGCAGCACCTGAGGGCATATCTTGTCAGAACTCCAAAGGCAGGCCAGTAAAATACCTAAATACTAACACAGAGAGGATACAAGATGATCTGGGGAAAGGAAGTGTGGAGGCATCTTGCAAGGGGAAACAAGTGAGAAAGAAGACTTTGTCCATTTACCCTTACTGTTACTACCTGGTATCCACACATGACTTGGACCAGCCTTATTTGAGCTTCAGACAGGGTCAAGAAAAAGACCAGATTTGAAAGAGAAATGAAGAGATAACAAATGGAAAGAATCAAAAGCTGGGGTCAGGAGGGCTGCAAAGGGTGGTGATCGAGGGCACCAAATTTATTAAATGCACAGCTCTTTTTATACCCCTCAAATGGGGAAGCAGAAAACAAACCAGTAAAGAGCATCAGACAGTAGAATTACAGGGTCCTCAGAATAGCTCAGCTCACCCTTAGTAAGGTATATTTGGGGCAGCAAACAAAAAGCTTTACATCTCAGTGTTTAGAACATTTAACCACATACATATAGGGAGATGCCAAGTGCCTAGTATCTGGACTACGGCCCCTCAAATCCTGGTGCCAGTCCATAGGTGTTGCCTGGCATGACCCTGGCCAGGTGAAGGGTAAAATGTTCACATCCCATCATCAAGACCTCCAGACAATCTTTAATTCAGTATGGGCCCTGACACATGAAGGTAATACTGTAACTACCTCTCCCAGCCTTCATTTCCCACCCACACTGAGAAAGGTTTAAACTCAGTAATAAGGAGGGCAATAGAGAGACAATACTTAGTGAAGAAGGCAGAAAATGAAACTCAAGAAAATATTATCCATCCAGGTTAGAGCTGGGAACCTTAAGCCTTCAACTCCAAAACTAAGGACCTGTCCACACAGGACAGCAAGGCCCTTGATGAATAACTTGCATCACAAGCACCCTCAGGGCCAGAAAGGGTGGGTCTCTGTTAGAACTGCTTTCTGTCTGATGCTGCCCTTTAAAAACTCAGTAGTCAACACCTTTAATCCAGCACTCAGGAGGCAGAGGCAGATGGATTTCTGTGGGTTCGAGGCCAGTCTGGTCTCTACAGCAAGTTTCAGGTCAGCCAGAGCCATATGTTTAATACTAATTATAATATTGACTAGGGCCAGGCTGGAGCTTTGATCTATCTTTATTGCAACAATAGCTCGGTCTAGGTGGAACACAGGCACTCTATGAAATATGAACAAGGTGGTATAAGGACCCTAATAGCCCATCACTTTCCAGAAAAAAAATCCTCACTCACAGAATAAAATGTGCAAGTTTATTGTGGTTAGTTTACCAGTGCAATAGTCTGCCAACATGTCCATTTCCAGCTACTCTGTCTGTGATGTAGTTTTTGTGCTGTTCTGCTTCTGCTTCAGAACTAGGCTGTTTGATTTCTGACACAAGATCAATGCTCGCCTAGAGTCAGGCGATTAAATCCCCTGGAGACAGATAGCTGTCTTCTGGTGTGGCTTCTTGTTGGGTCATTAGCTTTATTTTGTTTGTTTTGATTTTTCGAGACAAAGGCTGGCCTCTGGCTCCTGGGTGCTGGGATTAAAGGCATGTGCCACCACCACCCAGCCCGATCCTTGGTTTTTGAGGCAGTGTCTTGTTCTGTAGTGCAGCCTGTAAGTCACTACACAACACACAGTCCTTAGATTTGTGGCTGTCCTCCTGACTCAAACTCCAGAGTGTTGGGATTAAAGGCATGAGTCACCATGCCAGCCAAGGGCTGGCTTTATTTATTTATTATTTTTATTTATTTATTTCTTGGTTTTTTGAGACAGGGTTTCTCTGTGGCTTTGGAGGCTGTCCTGGAACTAGCTCTTGTAGACCAGGCTGGTCTCGAACTCACAGAGATCCGCCTGCCTCTATCTCCCAAGTGCTGTGATGAAAGGCGTGCGCCACCACCGCCCGGCCATGGGCTGGCTTTAAATAAAACTTTTCTACCAATTCTGTCTCCTGAGTTCTAGCTGAGCCAAATGTTTGATTCCAGCAGAGCAGAGACTCAAATACCTGTACATGTTTCCAGTAGCTGTAACACAATAGCATGAAGGCAGAAAACAACCCAAATGCCCACCAATAGAGGTGAATTAAAACTATGCTAGCTGTATATACAATGGAATCTTAGTCACATAACTATATTGAGTGGGCACGTTGCTGGTAGTAGAGTCCTAGGGCAGAGGCCCAATTCTGGGGGGTCCCCACAAACAAATGTAATGGTGAAAAGGTAGGAAATTGAGGCAGGTGTAGGCAGATGCCAAACTTTATCACGACTGACAACATTTGCAGGCCCAAGTCAGGACTTTTAGTAAACACCACTTCTACTTCTTTGAAATCACATTTGTGTGTGTGTGTGTGTGTGTGTGTGTGTGTGTGTGTGTTTGACCACTTTGCAAGTTGGTTCTCTATAAACACTGTATGGATTCCTGGGACAAATCAGACCATCAAGCCAGAAAGCAAGCACCATTACCCACTGAGCCATTTTGGTACTTTATCAAACAGCTTCTAATTCCTCGTTACACTACAAGGTGAAGTCACGAAATATTTTGAAACTAGATGTGGTGGCAGATTGAAATACTTAAAGTGCCTGGGAACAATACATCTTAAAACAATTCATTTACTGCCCGGTGCATGTTACCTCAGTTTAAAAAAAAAAAAAAAAAAAAAACCTCAATGACCCAACGTGCTTCAAGGTGCAGAATTATCACCAAATACTTCAACGTGTTCCCTCGGATCGTGCCGTTTCTAGATGTTTAGATCTCAACTCTGGTGTGGTTAAAATTAGTGCTGGGAGATGGATTAGCTGATAATGAAGTTTGCCGCCAACCCGTGGTGAAGGAGAAAACTGACTCACACAAGTAAGGTGTAAACCGGTGGTGGACTGAACCGACTCCTGCAAGTTGTTCGGTTACTTCCTCATGCTCCGCGCGCGCGCACAGACACACACACTAGGTGTAAAAAGGACTAAGGAATTCCCTGGCACCCCCAAAAGTAACACCCACGCTCTCCCGTGCCACCCAGAACTTGTCCCAGGCTCCACCCACACCTGAAGCTCTTATAAAGCCATTACCGCGGCTCTCCTCAGAACTCCCAGCGCCTTCCAAACCTTCCGGCAGCCGCCCCGCCTCCAACTCCGCCCGCCAATCAGTCCGCCAATCAGAAGAGCGGCCGCCGGAACTCGCTGAGGGAGGTGTAGGTGAGTGTTGTGTCGGGCCTTGAACCGATTCAAACTCCGCCCCTTCCACGCTCAACTCGCCAATCGGTAGCGCAGCCGCCGGAAGTGGCGGTTGGAGGTTTGGGTGGGCGTTACGGCAGGCCTGAGGCAAGGTCTGAGGCTGGAGGCCGCAGTGGGCGGGTCGGCCGGGCTGGAGCTATAGGTCAAGTGTCCGGGAGAGGTCCGGATCGGAGGTGGCCGGGCGGAGGTCGTTCTGCGTCCGGGAGAGTCCCGGCTTGGGCGGGCACGCCGGCGGCCATCCTGCGTGAACGCCCCTCGGTGCTTCTCGGCTCGGTCCGCCTGCACTTTATAATAGCTTGTCCTTCGGGCTCCCCACAGGTAACGTCTGGAAACTCGCTGCGGGTTGGCAGGGCGCGTCTTCGCGGGGGGCGGGGTCCCTGGTTACTATTGAATACCGGCCATTTGCTTCTCTGTGAAGTTGGCGTTCTGAGGGTCCAGCCTGGGTTAAAAAAATGTTTGAAAAAAAAATCCAAAAAACAAACAAAAAAAAGTGCAGTTGAGACCCAAGCTCACCGGGGAAGTGAGTGTAGCTGATGGATGGCTACCCTGGAAGCCATCTTTTATCGCCATCAGAGCCTCTAGTTAGGACACCAAGTGCAAAAGCTGATGAGCACAGACTTAAGTTAGATTGAGTAACGATGGATACCGTGGTTGGTATAAGCTTAACATCAAAATTAAGGGAAAAAAATGCGTCGAGTGTTGCCATCGAGTCAATTCGTAACGCTTTGCTTAAAAAACCATGGGTGCAGGTGTGAGTGGGCGGAAGGTTGGAATAGTAGACCCCAAGGAAGGTTACACGTTGAGAAGGGACAGAATGTCTACCATAGGTCTGTGCTAGTTGGCAGAGTTCCTTGCATTGAGTTCTCTGTAAAATAGAGATGTCGTTAATGTTTATGATAGTTTTGACAGGGTTATATTTACAAGCAGAAGGTAAGAGTTAACACGAAGCTCGGCGTTGGTGTCTCTTGCCTTTAATCCCATCACTCGGGAGGCCGAGGCAGGAGGATCTCTGTGAGTTCAAGGCCAGCCTGGTTTACAGAGCGAGTTCCAGGACAGCCTCCAAAACTACACAGAGGCAACCCTGTCTCTGAAAAACAAAACACAGGGGGCTGGAGAGATGGCTCAGAGGTTAAAAGCACTGACTGCTCTTCCAACGGTCATGAGTTCAATTCCCAGCAACCACATGGTGGCTCACAACCATCCGTTATGAGATCTGGCGCCCTCTTCTGGCCTGCAGGGATACATGCAGACAGAACACTATACATAATAAATAAATCTTTAAAAAAATAAAACAAAAAAGAGATAACACAAAGTATATGTTCGTTCTTCTGTGAGGGGGGAAATAGTTTTAAAATATCTTCCCTTCTAATTTAGTAAAAAAAAGAATCTGTAATTTGAGTTACCGAATTGTACTTTGAGACGTTTTCCCTACTTAGTGAGAGCTGCTTTTCATCAGTGTGTGTGTGTGTGTGTGTGTGTGTGTGTGTGTGTGTGTGGTGCCTGCGTTTGCACGTGTGGCTTTAGTACTTTCTTGTAGCTTGTTTTAAAAACATGTTAGAAATATATGTGCCTGGAGTAATTTCTTTGATAATGACAGTCTTTCTTTTTGCAGTCTTATGCTAACAGTCTGGTATTTTTGTTTTCTGCAGTATATTAGAAAGACATGATTTCCACCCCACTTCAACAACGCATCTAAGTTTTTTTATCTTCTTTTTGGATCTGTATCTTGTGCTGCAATGGTAAGCTGTGACAAAGCATGCTAAAATTTGTGTTCTACAGTATTCTCTTCCTTTATCTCCATAAAAATAATAGTGCATAGAAACACTCAAATAACTTGGCAGTCATCTGAAATTATTTTCTACAAAATATCTGGCTGGTGTCTTGCCAATTTGAAGGTAGAATTATCACATCTGAATCATACAGATAATCCATGAGTTAGAAGTTAATTCTGTTCCGTTTTTCTGAATCTTTGGCAAAGAGGTTGATATAAATGAAAATTATTTTGGGGGAGAGGGTTGAGTTTCTTCTTTGGGTGTGCATGTTCTGCACATGTTGGTATATATGTTTGGTAAGGAAATGAGAATAACTTTAATTTCTTCCTCAAGCTCTGCCCACCTTTCATTTTCAAGATCGTCTCTTAGGTTTAGAACCAGCTGAGTAGGCCTGTGAGGTGTACTTCCCATCACTGGGATCCTTGTGTGCCAGCCAGTCTAGCTTGCTTCTGTGAATTCTGGAGATTGAACCCTGTTCTTCATGAATTCTTCACTCTGAATTATTTCCTCAAACTCCTTCACTTGCATGCTTTAAAATTAATAAATGTAGGTAGGTTTAGTTTGTCACACCTGTAATCCTAGTACTTGGGATAGAGACTCAGGTTAAAGGGTCCCTGTGAGTCTAAGGTCAGCCTGGGCTAGCTCATCTCAGTGAATACAGTTTTGGTAATGTACATCATCTTTCTGCTTTGGAGGTCTTGCTTGTTTATATCTACCCTGTTAGAAAAAAATGGAAACGGTCACTGTGGGTTTCTTATCTTTTATGTGTGCATATTAGTGATACACCTAGTATTTTGAAAGGAGTAATGAATGCATGATACAAGCATGTTAAGCTCTCAGATACTGACTGTAGACACCGTTTTTTTTTTAGCATTTTCTTATTTACTTAATGATCAAGTGCCCAACACAATCATAAAAAGCAAAACAAAACAAAAAAAAGTAATGCATTGGAGCATAGAGGAGAGGGATAAAGAATTGTCCTTGTTCCAGAAAATTAAAGAAGAGTGTCAATTGTTTATTAATTTTTTCTGAAAATAACTAATATTGCCAAATATACTATTTGTTTTTGAAGCAGCAAGCTCTAGAACAAGCCTTGGATCGTGCAGAGGTGAGACATGACTGATTGTAACTGACAGAAATTCCATGAAAATGAAATTTTTGTAATCGTCAAGAGAATATGGTGTTTAGGCTAAGTCTGATAATAATTTTACAGTGCATATGTAAAACTGAATGATATATGGGTTATCAGTCCTGTGAAATTCCTGTTAGGCTATAGAATAAAATTATTTAAACCAGACCATAGAATTTCTAAAGTTGTTTTTCTATCCTGATAAGTTTTACTGAAATATCTTAAAATATGGGTCATTGTTTTCTGATATGCAATTTGAAAATAAATTTAGCTATAAAATGTTTAGAATATATCTGTCCTGTGGAATTGCAATTTACTCTACTAAAATGCTAGGTTGAGTCTTAGTGGAATTTAAATTTTATTTATGACCTGTGTACAAGGTGTAAGTTTACGACTAACTAAATGGGCTATTCAGCCTAACCTTTTGCAGATGTACAATACACCTATAGTTGCTCATATAAAAACTGAATACACAAGGTTGGAGAAACCCACAGAAACAGCTGACCTGAACAAGGGGTTGCTCATGGACCCCAGACTGATAGCTGGAAAACCAGCATAGGACTGTTCCAGACCCCCTGAACAAGGAGGTCTGTAATAGATATGGGGCCACTGGCAGTGGATCAGTATTTATCCCTAGTACACAAATGGACTTTGGGGAGCCCACTCTGCATAGAGGGATACTCTCAGCCTAGACACAATGTGGGAGGGTCTAGGCCCTGCCCCACATGATATGACAGACTTTGAAGATTCCCCCATGGAAGGCCTCACCCTCCCTGGGGAGCAGAAAGGAGTTGAGATAGGGGATCAGTGGGGCGGAGGGGAGGGGAGGGAAATGGAACTAGGATTGACATGTAAAAGAAGCTTGTTTCTAATTTAAAGCAAAAAGAAAGAAAAAAAAAACCTGAATACCAAGTGTCTGACCAACTTCTCTATTTCAGTATATTGTTGAAAGTGCTCGACAGAGACCTCCTAAAAGGAAATATCTGTCTAGTGGAAGGTATGACTGTATAATTGGTAACATCTTTGAGTTGGTGAAATGAGTTGACTACCACTTACTGTATTCTTACTAGGTATTTCAAATGCTGTCAGTTCTTTAGAAAGGTTGGTCATCCCTCATCTGGAAATGTGAGGTACTCCAAAATATGGAACTTAGAAATCATGATGGAATGTCACAAATGCACTTTTTCACCTCTAACTTGTGTGACAGATTATATATAGTTAAAATGCTATCACAGTAAAAAGTAGTATTTAAAATTGTCTTCCATGTCTTTCTGTAAATGCCTCTGAGCCTGCACTATAGCCTCTATTTCAGAAACTAAAGTAGTCCAAAACATGCAGGTCACAAGCATTTTAGGTAGTTCTGAGATGTTCAGACTGTGATATGAATTCTTAAATTGAGCCCGGCAATGTAACACACATTCATTTATAATGTTGAATTGGCATTGTACAGGAATTAACAGCCATGTCGATGTAGGAACATTGAAATCAATGTCTTGTCATATATTTGGGGGTAATATGCTATATTAGTTAAAATCTTATTTACCGGGTTTCATTACAGAACTAAAATATTTAAATTAATGAAAAGCAAACAATCATTTCATGATTATCTTGTATATTTATTACTTTTTTCCCCTAGAAAATCTATATTCCAAAAACTGTATGACTTGTATGTTGAAGAATGTGAAAAAGAACCTGAAGTTAAGGTAAATATAAATTCTTTATATTATTGAGCTTTGGAATTGTGGTAGAAAAGGGAAGTTTAGAACTTATGTTTGAAGCAGCTAGTGATTTATATCTTCGTGGTTGAACATCTTTTTCAACCAGACTCACTCAGTTCTTTGACTGACCCGTTCCAATCCCTGGCCAATCTGTCTGAGTTAGTGGTTGTCTGGGTAATGGGACATCGTAAACGAAGCCGAAGTGTATCTTCTGTTATCTTCCTCTGAGACCTGCTTTTGCAGACTTGAGCTAGTAATCTCAGTAACCCACATCTTGAGATTTTGGGG